TAAAGCGTCTGGGACACGGAGCAGGGATCCAGGAGTTGCTCCGGGCCTCCTCCAGCTCCCCCAGGCCTGCAGCCCCGTGGGTCGTGGGGGGGCAATAGGGCCCGGGTGGGGGGAGGGGCTGGAGCTGATGGCCCGGGACAGTCATGGGCTGGTCTGGAGGGAATTCAGCAACAAGTCAGCTCAGGAGGATTTGCCAAATTCACAGCCTGGCGGCACCTGTCCTGGCGCCCTGGACCGGGGGAGCAGATCCTCCAGCTCCCCCAGGCCTGCAGCCCCGTGGGTCGTGGGGGGGCAATAGGGCCCGGGTGGGGGGAGGGGCTGGAGCTGATGGCCCGGGACAGTCATGGGCTGGTCTGGAGGGAATTCAGCAACAAGTCAGCTCAGGAGGATTTGCCAAATTCACAGCCTGGCGGCACCTGTCCTGGCGCCCTGGACCGGGGGAGCAGAGAGGTGGGGGAGGGGAACACCTTGTTTTGAAAGCCCTCTCCCCCCAGCAGCTGGCCCCCGCCCCCCTCCCCAGAAAGGCCAGCAGCAGCCCTGGAGACTCACCAGGAAGCCGGCCCAGGAGGGGCAGGAGTGCCGGACCTTGGCGGAGGGCGTGATGGGAAGGTGGTGACGAGGATGCCCAGGAGGACCTGAATGAAGCCCAGCACCAGCAGGATCTGCAGCCAGGCCCTTTGCACGCGGAGCTGGGTGAGGCTGCGGGAGGAGCGGCCAGTCAGGGAACGGCTGGAGTCGCTGGGAGATGGCATGACTCGGTTCCAGGTCGGTGATAGATGGAGGCCTGGCCCCCGGAGGGGTGAGGAGGAGCCTGGTGCAGACCCCAGAACCGACGCTAAAGGGAGCAACCGTCAGGACCTGGGGCTGGCCAGTCTGCCCAGAGCCGCAGCCGGCACCGGCACCGCTTGGTTTTCTGGCAGGTATCGGTGCAGTTTTGTGCCCTGCTGCTCTCAGCTGGCCACGTGCTGCTTCCTCCACCCCAGGAGTGGGGGTTCTGGGTCAGGGCTCTGCTCTGTGACTCCCGGGTTCGCTTTGGCAAGGCCGGTCTAGATCCAACGCCTCTCGCTGCCCGGGTATCTCGGCATCCTGCCCTGAGGAGAACATCCGGCCCGGCGCTCCTCAGCGGATGCGGGACCGCGTCCCAGAGGCTGGCCGTCCCGCTGCCGTCTCCAGGGGCAGCTCCAGGGACTGCACGGAGCGGAGGCTGGAGGCGCCAGGGTTACAGCTGCAGGGGAAGGTTTTGCTCCATGAAGACACAGAGATTGGGGGGGGGCTGTCTCCTCCCGGCCAGGCCCCGGCTCCAGAAGGCAGCACCACAAAAGGGCAGCAGCCAGGCCCGAAGGGTCTCGTCCACCGTCCCAGCCGGGTTTGGGAGCATCCTCCAACCCAGCTGCCTGGGGCGCACGGGGCTGCCGGTCGCCTCTCCCAGCACGGGGCTCTCAGGCAGTAAATATACCCAGCTCCAGAGGCTGCCCAAGAAGGTCTCAGCAGGCAACTTCTGCTATCTGCAGCAGGCTGTAGGGCAGCTCTCGCCCCAGCTCAGAGCTCCAGGCGGCCACCCCTCGGGATCACGGGGCTCCCACGCTGGGATGGGGAGGCATCCCCTGAGCCCTGCAGCAGCCCCACAGGAGAGGCAGGAAGGCTGCCAGGTAGGGCCCAGCGGGGACTCAATTAAGGGGTCTCCTTAAAAGCCAGGGGGGAGGAGGGCGAGGGCTGGGCCCAGCAGCTGCCGGTCGGAGGACACACAGGCAGCCCCACACACAGCCCTGGAGAGCGAGAAGTTAAATTTTATTTTTTTTTAAATAAAATCAAAGCTGGATTTGCATTTGGCACAGAAAAAAAATCCACCAAAGCTAAGGGTCAGGTCAGTTGTGAATTACAGCCGGGGAAGTCTGACAGCCATCGCTCTGCCTCTTGCATGCCCTGACACACAGGACCATAGGCACCAAGCCCCCCCCCCCCCCCAAAGAAAATCTATCCCTGCACAGCCTGCCCTCTTACAGCTACCAGAGGTGGAGTTTAACATGCAGAGAAACCAGCAAGGGCAGGGGCCAGCCTACTGCACTGCAGGGAATCCCAGCTGTAGTGCTAGACTGGATCAACTAACCCTAGATCCCCTCCCCCTCAGCTGTCTGTCCACACCTCTTCAAAACCCACCACTGATCCTGACTCCTCCAGCTGCTGGGGAAGCCAAGTCCAGAACTCAGCCCCTCTCCCGGCTCCTCCAGAACCTCTTATTGAGGTTCTGGCTGCACTTTTCCCCCCACCTATTCATTTACGAGGCCTGAGCTGCCCCCTTTCTCTCCTGGAATCTAGGTGAGTCCTGCCCCTGCCCGGGCGGTGGGGGGGGAGGAGAAAACCATTCCAGCTGGCAGAGGAGCCTGGCATGAGGGCACCAGGGAGCCACGAGAAAGGTAAAAGCTGCTTCAAGCCAACCCAGCTCAGCTCCCCAGCTCAGCTCCCAGGGCCAGAAGGAAGAGGGCATCCACTTTGTCCAGACGCCAGCGTGCTGTGGGCTCCACCCCCACCTCCACCTCCCTCGCCCTGGTTTGGCTTCAAGGCAGCCTGGGATGTGCTGCTTCCCCCAGCAGGAGGCACCTTCTATAGGGGTGATGCCTGTAGCGGCAAGGAACAGGAGCTGGGAGAAAGCCAGTGGAAGAGATCAGGGTGCCTCGTGAAGCTGTGGGGAGGGGAGGAGAACCACTAGGGGAAGGACGGAGCTGAGAATTAGGAGCAGCATCCCCTCCTGCTGCTGCCACGAGCACTGAAGAATCCTACAGAGGATCATGCTGCACCGGCCAAGCCAGGGTTCTCCGTGTCCCCCCTCCTCTGGGGAGGACCTAGGAAGCCAGGGCTGCATGCTCACTCTGCAAGGTGCCCGCCAACAGTGCCAGGCCTGGCTCCGAGCTCGCTGGTACCCCTGGGAAGGCAGCAACGACCCCCGGAGCTGCAGCTCACCAGGACACCAAGGCCAGTGCTGGCCCACGGCAGTGCCCACAGCAGAGGATGGGCGGCTACAGGGCAGGCGCTGGAGAGGCCCGCTACCCTTCACTGCATACAGGCTGGGTGGTGGCCCGCAAGCTGCTCCCCCCTTCCAAGCAATCACCCTGGGCTGAAGGCCAGCCAGCCTCATGCCTGGGAGACCACAGCTACAGCCCGTGAAGGCGGAGTGTCCTCAGCAGGGAGCAAACTCCCAGTGCAGAGGCAGCCCAGAGAGAAGCCCAGAGCTGGTGCTGCCCAGGTGTGGACGAGGGGCACTGAGGCACCAGCCAGGGACTACGACATGCACAATTCAGCCCTCCCTAGCAGCCAGTGCTGTACAGAGGGGGGCTGCCCCTTCCTGAGCACCAGGGAACCGTCTCCCCCAGCCCGAGCAGCCCCCACCCGCGAGGGCG